TTCGATTCGGATTTTGCTAGCTTTAATGGCATAGTATGGTTTGGAGTTAGATCAGTTAGATGTAAAGACGATATTTCTTCATGGTAATCTTGATGAAGAAATATATATGACTCGGCCATTAGGAATTCGAGCTGTAGGGAAGGAAAAATTGGTTTGCAGATTGAAAAAATCGTTATACGGTTTGAAGCAGTCTCCTCGATAGTTAGACGATTCGATGGTTTTATAATTGGTCATTCGTACACTCAAAGCCAGTTTGATCATTGCGCATATTTTCACAAGTAAAAAGGAGGTGTATACATCTATTTGTTACTTTATGTCGATGACATATTGGTTGTCTCTATTTCTAGATCTGTTATAGATGAGTTGAAGGCACAACTTTTAAAGGAGTTTGAGATGAAGGATTTGGGTGAGGCGAAGTATATTTTAGGGATGGAGATCGACAAAGACAAGAATAAGGGCAAAATTTGTTTGACACAGGTGGCTTATTTGAAGAAGGTTCTACAACGATTTCATGTTAGCATGGATACGAAGCCAGTTAGTGTACCATTGGGAGCCTATTTGAAGCTTTCAACTGATCTTTAACTGAAGATAGTTGAAGATCGAGAGTTGATATCGAAGACTCCATATGTGAACGCAGTTAGGAGCTTGATGTACGTGATGGTATGTACGAGACCAGATTTGTCACAGGCGGTGAGCATGGTTTTGAGATACATGCACGATCCAGGAGTAGGTCATTGGGACGGTGTGAGATGGATTTTGAGGTACATTCAAGGTACGCTCAATGTTGGTTTGATTTATGAGCGGGACACTACAGAGATGGATTTTGAGGTACATTCAAGGTACGCTCAATGTTGGTTTGATTTATGAGCGGGACACTACAGGTGGGCAGTTATGTATTGGACATTCAAGGTACGCTCAATGTTGGTTTGATTTATGAGCGGGACACTACAGGTGGGCAGTTATGTATTGGCTCCGTTGATTCGGATTATGTCGGTGATTTGGATAAGCACCGGTCTATAACGGGGTATGTGTTCACTTTAACCTGTGCACCGGTGTGTTGGAGATGCACCTTACAGTCTACGTTGGCTTTGTCTACGATGGAGGTAGAGTATATGACGATTACGGAGGTTGTGAAGGAGGCGATTTAGCTTCAAGGAGTTTTGGAGGAACTTAGTATATCACAGCGGTCTGTCACTATTTATTGTGATAGCATGATTGTTCTCTATTTGGTGAAAAATCAGGTTTTACATGTGAGGACGAAACACATTGATGTTCGTTATCACTTTGTTCGTGATGTTCTTGAACATGACAATGTGAAGATTGTGAAGGTCCACACGAAGGATAATCCGAAGGATATGCTCACAAAAATGGTTCCGATGTAAAACCCCGAAATTTTATAATGAATTTGTGTGAATAAATAGTAATAAACCTTTCTTTTGTGATAAATAACCATATAAATATAAGATATATATGTTTATCAGTGTTTGGGAACCCAGCAGGTGTTTACAAGTGAGAGAAATCTAGTGGTATATGGCCAGCAGGTGAAATGCCTACAGAAGGCATTTTTGTGCTGAGCGGTCGACCGACGTGGTCGACCGTGGCGGTCGACCGGTGCGGTCGACCGATCAGCGTACAGAGAGTTTCAGGTTTTGTTTTCTTTGCGGTTCTGTTTCGGGTCTTTTGGGTTTCGGGTCGGGTTGTGAGTGGGTATATATGCTACTGTTCACGAGAGAGCCTCTTTGAGTTCTGAAATCAAAACCCTAGCCCCCTCTCTCTTCCCTTAAACCCTAATCCTCTCTTTTGGTGATCTGGGAGCAGTTTAGAGGATTGTCAGCAGGTCTGTGGGATTTTAGCGAAGAGGATCAACCTCCTGCAGATCTAGGGCTTTCGTCAACACCCAAAGGCGAGTATCATCTCGCCAAATCCCTCACCCCTGCTCTCTATGGTTTTCTCTTGGATTTTTGTGAGTTTATTGAGCCAAAATCGTATTTTTTGAAAAGCTAATAGATCATCTTTGCGTACAGTACGAGATTCAGGTATTTCTTAATTTTTAAAGCTCAACAACGATTCTGTTAAAGAGATCCAGATCTGAATATGTTTAAAAAGGAGAAAAACCCTGTTTTTGTTGATTAACTATACATAGATCATGTTTAACTATGTTTGGGATCTTGATAATGATTCCTCAATGTATAAGTTTTCTTTATTTACCTGTTTAATGACAAATTTCAATCTGCTATATTGCATTTTATCACAGGTCAGATCTAGACAGAAACCCAAACCTGGGTTCTGTCTGTCTCGCGGTCGACCGCATCGGTCGACCGCAGGGCGCGCAGCGAGGGCAGAACAGAGTCTGCCCTCTGCGCGGTCGACCGCGGCGGTCGACCGCGACGTCCTTTCGGTCGACCAAATTTCCTGGCGGTCGACCGCGGCGTCCTTCCGGTCGACCGAATTTCCCGGCGGTCGACCGCCAGGCTCGTAGCAGAGTTCGGTCGACCGAGTCTGTCGACCGACGCACTGTCTGTGAAATTTTTCCTGTTTTGGGTATTTTGAACATTTCACTCATGTTTGAGAGTTTGACTGGACTATCTGACATTGGTATTTAGTCTTACTATGTGCCCAGACACGATAGATGACCTGAGGGTACCAATTATGGATATATACACTGATTTGACTGTGAATTGATATAGGTAGATCTCACTATGTATTCCAGTGATATTTTCACCATTTCACAGTCTTCGTGTTGGACTATAATCCATAGAAGTCCTCGTGTTGGACTATAATCCAATTCCAGACCTCGTGTTGGACATTTGCCACTTAATCTATGAGTTTGGAAAACTGCGACATAAATAGTTCCTGATTTGGACATAGTTCTTAACCCTGCATATGACTTCTTCACAGAAGTTCACGACATGATGTTGTATCTCTTATATATTAACTGTATTTTCTTATACAATGAGCCCTATCCCCTTGGGGTTGGTTGTGATGTTACTCGCTAGTGCTTTGACGCTCGTTGTCCCTCCCCCTTTCAGGTCACGAGCCAGGAGCACGAAGAGCTGCAGGTTGATAGCGGACCACATTAGTGTTCAGCTTTACTTTCTAGCTATGTATTATTTTCTTTGGGCTCCACTGTAGTGAGGTTAGACATTTGAGGGTATTATACTAGAAGTTGTAAAGGCTGTGAGCCTTATCCCCTTATCGTCAGATATTTGTATTTGAGACTTGTTGAGTATTTCAGTTTATCTACGCATATCTTGACCATGTATTTCTGTATTGTTGGATGATGAGATATTTATGTGACTATTATCATTTCATCAATATTCCTTGTATTATCTCTTACCTGTTTTGTACCTACACCAGTTGTTGATTCTACTAGATAGATGTTAATCTCACCTGTTTTGTACCTACACCAGTTGTTGATTCTACTAGATAGATGTTAATTGTGATGGTGAAATATGTTATTGCACGGTGTGGTGCATAGCAGGTTTGACATTCTTGGTTTCACCTTGGACTGCAGCCTTGTGTGAACCCAGGGGCGTCACATCCGAGCAACAAGTTTGATCATTGTAAAGACTTGTTGTACATTCGTGATTGTTGAGGCCGTTAGCAGCCATTTTGGGTGAACTACGTAAAGGCTTGATTCCTTGGGCAAGAGGATACGTAGGCAGTCATTTATGATGCAACTGATTTGAGAGTAGATACCCATGTTTGGAGTTTGTTCGCATTCCTATTTGGGTTCTCGACTTGTTGTGGATTAGGTCTATTATCGTGAATTGTTTCACTTCGTACTGGACGCAACAAGTGAGACATTTGGTTTGCTTTGATATCAACTCAGTTTTGGGAAAGCTTCATTGAGGTGGATAATTGTGAGCGGACGTGGGGGCCCACCTACTCACGTGGGTGAAACAACTCAACCCAAAGCCACACCCACGTGATTGTGAGAGAGCAGCAACAGTCAATCGGGTAAATTATTTATTTAGGCCTGGACTTTTTTAGTTTCTGCAACTATAAATAGGAAAGATTCCCTAGTTTAAACTGTGCAAGAGCAGAGGGTGAAAAGAAAAATCATGATGGCGTGCAAGGGCTTCGTGAAGGGGTAATCATAGGAGCCGCTGACTTTGACAGAGAAACCGCTGACTTTGAGAAGAGTTTTGGCATCCCCTTTGTGAGAGATTTAAGAGTTTGTATGAGGATTTAATTTATGTGATTGTAAATCCTATTTGTATTCTCTCTCTCTAAAAGTAGATTTCCCCCTTCTTGCCCCGTGGACATAGGCAATTTGCCGAACCACGAAAAATTCATTTGTCTCGCTGTTTGTGTGATTTGTAATAGCTTATTTAGGTTCCCTTGACAGGTCAGTCCTAGAACTGATGAGAGGAAGAGCTGATATCCTACTTTATTGAGATATTTTGCTTTTGGTTCTTGTTTCCTTGGTGAAACAAGAATTCCTATTGTGATCTTACTCTCTTATTGTGCCGAGTTGTGCCGAGGTGCTGCCGAAATTTTTGCTGCTCACAACAGTTTATTCGTCTAGTGCATGGTCTTCCATGTCTTTTTTTGGTGAGAGGAGGCTTTAACACTCGCTCTTCTGATGGTACAAAGCGCTTCTCGTAATTTGTGATGGGAAAGATGATCTGTACATAACTTGCTCTGAATATGTCAATAGTCATGTAGCAATCACAATATTAATAAATTTCTCATCCCATCCATGTAATTGCAGCGCACGCATGTTTGCAAGAAATGCAGGTGATGTCCCAGGACATGCAAGAACATGCCTGATTCTTTAAATCTACATGGCAAGTTTTATTAGACTCGACCTCCACAATATCTTCCGTCGAATGTTTAATCGCCAAGCAGCTACCATGCTGAATATTATCGCACAGTACTATCTCCGCTTTCGGGAATAACTATCCAGACCATTTTTAACCCACTAGCCTCCTTTCATGCATGCACTCCATTATTTGCTTTCGTATGGTCTCAACCAAAGGTAAGATTCGCAACAATCATTCCTTTCTTATCCAGCTGTTAAAGGACTCAACATCGTTTGAAGTAACATTGCCATACCTTAATAACAAAACACTAACATTAATAATAAAACCATAACCTAAACATTAAAGTCCTAACCTTAACAACAAAATTCTAAACTTAACAACAAAACCCTAGCAAAATAATTCTAACCATAACAATAAAACTCTAACCTTAACAGAAAATTGTAGGCTAACTCTAACCTAAACAACTATAATGGTGCTGTAACAAAATAACGTTGAAACCAAGTTATCTTACCTTATACTAGGAAAATGCATGTTTTCCCATCTCTCCGGGGAGTATTCCATTGCAGTGACGTAAGCCCTGTGATCGATCGCTGCCAATTCTTTCATGTCATCATCCCATTCAGAAATTATGAACTTATAAACCCCAGATTGTAACAGCTCACCCAACGTAGTGGTGACATTTGCCTTGTGCCCAAAATCCTTCATCTTCTTTTTGAAATTCTCGATTAGATGCAGAACACACCTTGAATAGAATGCATCTGGAAATAGTTCCTCGACTGCTGCCCTAATACCCTTGTCAGCATCGAAAATCATTACCAGTCGATGTGGAGGTTGGTAAGGATTTGCTCTATCATATAGTAACATCCACAATCATTATAAGAACTATTTCTAGTTAACCTCATTCTCCTGGTCGCATACGCAATAAGCAAGGGGAAATATTCCCTGGTTGCCGTCATACCCAGTGGCACTAAGTAGTATGCCTCTGTAGCAATCTTTAATAAATGTTCCATTCAAAAATAATAGCGGCCTACACCCAGTAATGAACCCTTCAATACAGGCATTATAACTAATGAACAATTGTTTAAACCTCCCGCCATCAACATTAATAACAACACGACTCCCTGGATTAGTTGCATACACCACGGATTCATACCTGCATGAATATAACAACAAAGCAGTAAATTTAGCAACGGATTCATAACAATAACTGATCTTTAACCTTAACAACTAACACATATACTTAACAACGAACCAATAACTTTAACAACTAATACGTATAGTTAGCAACCAATACGTAAGAGTGATTTCAGAAGAATAAAAAAGAACATACCATCTTAGTGAATCGTAAGCTTCATCATCATTACCGAACAGGTCCTGTTGACCTATCTCCTTACCCCACCATGCTTTACTATAGTTAATCTTGATGCCAAAATTGGAGTGCATGCCATTCTTGATATCAACTGCACGAAGATCTGGCCTAACCTTCAAAACAGCTTGTATTTGGCCAGTAATGAACTTCCTTGATACCCTTGAGTTGCCAGCATTTGTTCCATGTTGATCGTATGTGTGGGTAGATTTGAAATTCTTTATGGACATGATAGATGAATTTCTTAGCGGAGAAGCAAACAACATCCAAGAGCAACCATGTGTGTGCTTGAATCGGCTATAGACTCTTATGCGCCTTTGTTCACTGTGGTAAAAATCATACTCGAACTGTTTAGCAATTGAATAGTATTAAAGTGCTAATCTAACTTCAGCAGCATTATCAAATTTCTGACCAACTTCACATATGGAGTGTGCCACTCAGTTGGGATCTTTGTTTGGTGGTTAAGCATGTCTTCCAGCAACATGATCGAGTCGCCGGAAGGGTTGTCATTAGGAATACGCTTATCATTACAGGTTTAGGTGAACATTGTATCTGCGCACTGCGAATTTTCTGTCGGTATTATCCCGAAGTAGTAGTAAAAATACATAGTCTCAGCAACGAACTGATAACCTTAACAATAAACTCATAAATGTAACAGCCAACACATATCTTTAACAACTAACCCTTATACTTAAAGGACAGACTCGTGACCTTAACAACAAACGCATATACTTAACATCAAACACCTTACCATAACAACCAACTAGTATACATAATAGCGAACACATAACCTTAACAACCAGTCCTTAACCTAACATTAACAACCAACTCATAACCTAAGCAACCAATGCATAAGGTTAACAACTAATGGCAAAACCAATCAGTGAACTCATAAGAAAATCTAAAGTGTAATTCCTACGCATTTTTCGGTGTAGTCTGCTTGTTCTGCGAAGTTGAGGATTCCCCAGCGGAGGTATCATACAAATTCGCATCTGTAAATCCATTATGCCGACAATACTCGAACATAAAATTTAAGTCATCGTCATTATCAATTGAAATACTGAATTTTTTTTCCCTTTAACATATGAACTTCAGTGAAAGAGATTGCATTGATATTTTAAGCCTTTCTGACACTTGATATTTCAAGCAGATTATTTCTGTATTCTCTTTGATAACGACGAATATACCGTCACCATTTTTATTGTTTCTTTGCCTTTGTTACCACACAAAGTAGAGATCCATCTGTCATTTTATTACAGGGAGTAGTTGAAGAATCGAAGAGGCTTTTATTGAGGAGAATTAAGTGGAAGGAACAGATTAGTTGGGGTAATAGAATGGGGAGAAACTCAAAAAAAAAAAAAAAAGCCATTCTAATCACCATTTAACGCCTACAGTCGAAACGTCATATTTCTGACATGAGAGGGCGACAGTTACATACTGTGTAGGGGTATTTTGGGTATTTCGTGAGGGGTTTAAATGGAGTTACGCCTGAGGATTTGTTTTGGGAGCTGGAAGAAAATCGCGGAGCATTTTGGGGGCAAAACACCCGTTGAAAAAGTCTTATGGGGAGGCACGTTTTCTTGGGTTTTGGGGGCTGGAAGCATTTTTCCCTAGTTTTTATCTTGAGTTATAAGTAGAACTTTGATACATGTAAGTGTCCATGCGTTTCCATGATCGCACGTCCTTTTATGCGTTTAAGTCTGAGACTGAGTGGTAGAAGAATAATAATTGAAGTAGCGCCTAGTGTTTACTGGGAGAGAGAATAAGAGGCTTTTTAGTTTTATTCGTCTATGAAATCCAACGTCGACCTCTTGAGCTGCCTAAATATTTTAATGAGTTACCATGTTGAATTCTTGTTAGAGCCATTACAGATGTCGTAAACAGTATATAATCATCATGATTCTTTGGAAATAAAGTTTGATTGATGGACAACTTTAACTATAAATATCATCTGGTAGATTAAAGAGTTGTGCCTCCTTAGCCAAGTTGCAAATGTAAGCTTTGCTTACATCGTGCTCAACTTTAATATGTATCTTTCCAGGTAGTGTTTTCCAATCTTTTTGACTTTGTGAGACGACTCAAAGTTCAGGGGGTGTTTTATGAAGTTAACTCCTAATTAAACAGAAGATTAAGTTGTTTTGGTGGTTGTCTTGCAAGTGGGCTTGAATATTCACAAGTATCATTCTGCTGAATCCTCTTAGCTACCATTCATCCTTAGTAGCTAGCAGGCGTCAAATGATTAATTAGCATTTATTCACACAATCATCACAAGTTGCTGGCTTCTCATTTCCTTGAGGAATGCGGAAGCTTCAAGGCCCAAAGACACATCTTTTTTTTTTAAAGGAGGAAGTATAAAGCTAACCCTCATTTCTGAGATTCTCCTTTCTTAATACTTCTGGCAACTATTTTATGCTGTGAATCTTGTTTAGTCGTGCGCATTTGCAGAACAAGCAAAAGTGTGGTTTCCTTGGTGAGTCAAGTTCCCTCTTTTTCATTGCATCTTATTCTACTAATTACTACTTTGTCAGGTAGGCAGGGAATATTAGTACTAATATGTGCATCACATATTAGATAATTAAGGTAGTGCTCCCATCATGAAAGTGGCTTTTAGTGAGTGCTTGTATAGTGATTTTATTCTTACGCATCAGAAGGATATTTCTTATAACCTGCTAGTTTTAAGGACCAACTACAAGAGAGGGGTTTAAGGACAAAATATATTTCTCATGGCATTTAATGTTGTACATAATCATTCTCTATCATGGAATACAATTCATGGTATTCATTCCTATGTTTAACGATTGTAGTCAACATATTCATACTCTTCTCTTTTTATTTTTATTTTCCCTATTAGAGTATCCTGGGAAGATAAATCCTTTAGGAGGTTAAGTTGGCCGAGAATATCGAACTCTGGGAAGCTGTAAACGAAGAATTTTAGAAAAAAAAAAACTATGGATTGTAAATAAACAACTCTCCAGTTTGATTTGTAGAACATTTCAGCATTTTAATTTTAATTTATAAAATACAGTTGCAAATTATAATTTTAATTGTCTCTTTCGTTGCAATATTATTAATTTAAACTATCAACTGCAGCAATTAATGCATGAGTTCCAAACAATATTCTTAAGTAGTTATTTGTACTGAGATCGGTTATAAAAATTAGACATTGGGAGTTGGCATGGAGCCGTAAGAGGGAAACCATGCGCATATGATTAATTAATTACTACAGGGAAACCGCCAACATCTTATCCAAACAGGAGAGGATAATCTGTACCCTAAAATGCAGACAAGTCTCCGTGAGGAGTGACAAGGCACCATTTAATTATGTTTCTTACAACTTATAACCTGCCCACATTATGTGTCCTAGAGTTTGTTATCCAAGAGACCTTCGTATACATTACTCACCAAGCAATTGGGATTTGGGAGACAAACCCTAACAGTATCTTGCCCAAATGTCATATATATATGCCAATGTGACTGTCCATAAACTTTTTCATGTTTCTTTATTTCGCAAAAACAGACAGCCTTTGCCCTCAGAAGTCTTCTCCGTATCCCTCTCTTGTCTTCCGACGCGTATTCACCGTGTAGGTGTTGGAAATCCGGGTCCGGGCCGGGCAAAGCCGGAGCCCGAACCCGGACCCGGGCCCGACCGGGCCGGGTTCAGGGCCGGCCCGATTTATTTTCTTTTTTTTTTAATTTTTTTATCAAATTTTTAAAATTTTATTTAAATTTTAAATTATAAAAAAAACAAAAAAAATTAATAAAAAACAATAATTTTATTAATCACTTAAAATGACATAAATTACAAATAAAAAATTTTAAAAATAAATTTTTTATTAATAATTAATAAATTATTTACAAATTACAAGTATAAATTTATTTTGGAATTCATCGCATCACAATAGATAAGTACATCTCAACTAGGTTTTTTAAAATTTTTTTTCTTTTCTTTTTTGATAAAAAATGCAAAAATTAGTTTAATATTATTATATTTTATATAATTATGTATTAGTATATACTTACAAATTATTATGTAACTATATATTATATATACATATATTATATGTAAATATATTGTATATATTTATAAGTTATAACTTGAGAGAGAAAGAACGCATAAGTAGCCGTTGCCCGTTGGGCCAATGGGGAAGAAGTAGCCGTTGTAATATACTATACTTATATATACTTATATACTAAGATAGAGAGTACACACACACACACACACATATTATACATATATAAGAGAGAGTATACTTATATAATAGGGAGTATACATATATAAGAGAGAGTATACTTATATATACATATATACTAAGAGAGAGAGTATATTAGTATATATATATATACACACACACACACACATATATTATATATATTATACATATATAAGAGAGTGTATGCTTATATATACTTATATAAGAGAGAGTATACATATATAAGAGAGAGTATACTTATATATACATATATACTAAGAGAGAGTATATATATATACATACATACATACATACATTATACATATATAAAAATATATTATATATACATATATTATACATATTATATATATTTATATATACATATATTATACATATATAATATAATACATATAATAAAAAAAATAAAAAAAATCAATCCGGGCCGGGCCGGGCCTGGGCCGGGCACCAAAGAGCCAGCCCGGGCCCGGCCCGGAGCCCAAACTTAGCCCAGGTTTCCGGGCCTGGGCCAGGCCCGGACCGGCGGGCTTTTTGGACACCCCTAG